TGAGGGAGCGCACATACATGGGACGCACAGAGCAGACGTAAGCCACTTAGATTTTAGCGAGAGGCTTCGTGTTACGCGCCATACTTACGGCAAACACTTTGACGACATTTTCGAGCCGCAACTATGGGATGCGGCAGCCGCGGGAAAGTTTCGCGTGCGGCTGGAGTTCAGGTTTCTCCAATACCGCGGGCGGAAAATTGATTCACGCAAGCATAAAACGTCCCGCGATATAATCGCGGATGCGATCGATGGATGCCGCGAGCGCGCTTAAATAGCTGTCCTGCGAATTTTCTGACGCAGCGCGAGCACAGCGCGCGTTATTTAGCGTCGAACGGTTTCCCCGAGTTGCGAGATTCCTCCTTACGTGTTCTCAGCTTTTCACCCGACCGACCGACTAATTCAACGACGAGATCGAGCGATGATATTTGAGAGACACGTGCTTGTCATCAATACGTGCTGTCGTTTCCTCGGCGTTTCCTCGGCGAGCCCGCGTGTGTATCGTCGTCAATCCGGCGAGAGCCAAATTTTACTTTCTATATCTGCCGGAAGTGTTTCCCGATAATATCGGCGACAATCGATATCCAATTTATTCAGTGGATATCCCATATAATATCGGTAAAGTCAGATCAATATCTTTGAAGCGATGGTGGTTGGCCGCGACCGCGATGTTATTAAATAACTCGTCGCGATTAATATCACGGCTTAAAACGATTTTTATAAATTCACCGGGCAGACGGCCAGTTTATTTAACACGTAGCCCCGATGGAGATCGCCGCGCGGTGGTAGATATTTATCGGTTTCTCGTTCGAGATAATTGCCGTTTTTTGATGCGCGAAAAACGAACGTGTTCATTGTTGGCTGTTCTTGACCGCGTGATTCGGGTTGTTCTCGGACAAAATTGGCTCAATCAGCGACAATTTAATAAAGTAACAACCGTGATGACAAGGTAAAATCGAAGTGGCTCAAATAGAGACGAGAAATATGGAACGGAAAAGAAAGAGCAGGAAATAAAGGCAGAAATTGGGAGGCGAGAGAGAGAGAGAGAGAGAGAGAGAGAGAGTACAATGTAGTAACATACGAATCTTCTTCACATTCTTAAACAGAAAGTTCTCTCTAGACTTTTTCGCAGATTTCGCGGGGGAAAATTTCGTGCGTGTCTCTCCGACGCGAAGACGTCCGCGACACGTCCTGAATCCGAAAACACATCGCCTTGTTCAGGCTCTCCTCGCGACTGAACAAGCTGAGAGGCCGGGAACATAAGCTACTTGGATTTCAACGAGAAGTGTTGCGTTACTTTCGCGAAAGGCGGACGCCTCCGACGACATTCCCCGCGTTCTTCGTCGTAATCTCCTCAAACGGATTGCTACCGTAGCTAACAAACGCATTCGAGCGAGCGAGCGAGCGTTTGTCTCGAGGAACTAAACAAACGAATCCGTTTCGCGAATAAATGCTTCCCTTCGCCGGGCTCCGTGTCTCTCTCGTTTCCCATCGTCGCGGTTGCCGCTGTCGTCGTTGTCGTCGTTGTCTTGATAGCTTTTCCTCGTTAACGTTCACGCAGCTGCGTGATTTTGATTCCCCTTGGAACGCGCCGATGTCTCGATACCTCGAGGACGAGGAGGAGAGAAGCGATCACTCGCAGGACCGGACCGTCCGGCTGTAACGTCATTTTTCTCCTCGGCGTTCCGCAAATTTTTCTTCCTCAGCGGAACGTCCTCGTCCTCGGCCGGGCCGCTTGAATTAGTTTAGAGAAGAAGATAGTCGAGATATGACTTCGGGCAATACGAGTTTTTGCATCTGTCAGTGGCTGGCCGAGATGTAACTACCGGCGGTCGCGTCGCCTGCAACTCGCGCCGACGAAGTTACCTCCGGACGAATATCAAAGGCGGAGGGACCTCTCTGGAGAAACTTGATTTCTGCAATTTAATTATAAGCCGAGCAGACGCGACCTCAGGCGTACCTCAAAGCGACGGCTCCGCGAATTATTTATCTAAATTTCTAATTTTCGTTTCAACCTACACTTTTCGGGGCGCGCACGCGCGCACAGCCCGCTTCGGTCTCGTCTCGGCCGGACGATTAATCTCGAGACGAGACGTGCGATCGTTATTCAACGTGCGACCACATCGCCGCGATTCACTCGACGTAAATCGAGATTTTCATCCCGCTCGAGAGCTCGAGCTTGTGAATCGAGTCTCCCCCTTTTACGGCCGCGCGACCCGCCGAAAACCGCGGCCGGCCGGTGTACATTAAGGGAACCGGGTCGACGCTCGTGTCCGGCGCCCGATGAAAAAGCGTAGCCGGGCCGCGGCGGTATTCGCCGTTGGATTTCTTTCGAGTTTCGCGTTAATATGGAAACGAGAGCCGTTCACGCTGACGAGACTGCGACAGAAAAAGTACGCCACGGTTGAACAAACGGAACGCCCGCGCCGGTGAGGGCCAGCTGGCCGGCCGGCCGGCCGGCCATCGACGAATGATTGGTTTCAGCGCCGCAGGCCATTAGCAAACACCTGAAGCTTTTCGCGCTCCCTTCCCTCCCCCCATCGCCCCTGTTAACCCCTCGACCACCGACGGAGTTTCTCCGTCTCGAACTTTCCTCGGAGGAGAAAGAAGAAGAGCGCGGAGTTCGGGTTAACAAACTCATCCTTCCCGAGCCACTCGTCTCTCGCAGTTTTTAAGCACTTTTTGCCGCCTTCATCGACCCCCTTCTTCCTCCACCCCCACACAGTCGCTCCCATCTCACATTCGCCGCACCGGCTGCAACGCGAAAAACCCGATTAACAGTCGGCGATTGGTATCTTTTTGTGTTGCATTGTGCAAGTTCGCGCGGGGCTCCGGCCGCGCGGAAATATCGAGACGGGGCTCGACTCCCCCTCTCTTTCTCCCTCTCTCCCTCCCTCTCTCTTTCTCTCTCTTTTTCTTTCTAAATAGTTGGATAGTTGTTAGCGAAATTTCCTTGAGGCCGAAGTAATTTGCGGCTGTTAATTTGAAGAATATATCGGTCGATTGTTCGCTAAATGAGATTTGAAAGAGAGAGAGAGAGAGGGGAGGGGGAGAATCGTATTAATAGATGACTATCTTTTCAGTTCTGTCCGTAGCGTCGTTCTATCTTGAAACGGAGCTCGCTGTTGAGCTTGCAATGCGCAATCCAATTTTCGCGTCACTTAAAATTCTACGCAACGCAACGACCCATTTCGGTGTTCCGGAAGCGTGCGTTAGATCGCGAAGAGGAGATGGGAACCGTCCGAATGACTGTTCGACGTCCAAATCACATTGACGGTAACGCGACGCGAATAGAAACTTCGTCCGACAAATGGAGCCGCCGTTATATTACGTAGTTGCTAAGTATCGCAGTTACTAAACATCGCGCTTATACCTCGCCTTAGCGAGAGAATAAAGATTTCTTTGACGGCGTCCCTTCATGAATTTTCTCACTTCGCTAAAACCTCGTATAATGCACGTAAAGGGTTTCTCGAAAGTTTTTACGCCGTTGGCAATTAAGAGAGACAAGGGCGAGTATCGTTTTCTCGGAATAAAGTAATCAGCCAGACGAGCGGTCGGAGAGACGAGGATACGGCCGGGAAAAAGTTGATAAGGGACCGTTGCAGAAATTTTGCACCGCACCGGCGCGGGCGCGGCGAATCGTTACTGTGAAAAAACAACAACGGCGGCAAGATGCGCGGCTGAAGCGCGCCCCGAGGTCTATTAAGTATCTTTAATGAGACGACGATATTGGCGCTCGCTCGGCGCTCGGTGTTCTCTCCGTCTCGTTATTATCGCCCCCGCGTATTTTTACGTTTTATTTTTTTTCTTACGATCAGCGTATTATTATTATTATTTCCGCGCGTTGCTACTGCCGTAGAGCGCGGATCGCCGATTGATTTATACTTCCTCTCGAGTGAATCGCGCGCTCCAACAAGGATTCGTATAAAAAGGAAAAAAAAACGACGGGCTGAGTAGGAGGGAACGGAGGGAGAAACGGCCGTGTCGAGGTCGTTCACGCGCGCGATACGGCGCGCGATAAACGCGCGCGGTGATAAAATTCGCGTCCGAGGAACGAGCATGTCGCCTTACGTGCGCACTTTTAAGGTAACCTTCCTAACGAACGAACCTCTTTAATCACTGTGATCGCCCTCTCCCAGTAAATCTCGCAATTCCCAGTCATCCGGACGGGGGCTTCTCGTCGACGGGGAAGCTCATGTCGCTCGAGGATACGCCGCTCCCCCGTGCGATGCACAAGGAAAGGAATTTTCGAGCTGGAACTCCCAAAGGATGTTCCGCCACGAGACCATTCGCGCAGCTCACTCGTCCACTACGACACCGCGAACAGTGCACCGGAATCTGAATTTCTGTATTCATTCCGGGGGAGTTCAGGAGCCACCGTTCAAACTCGCCGGAATTTCCCCAGCAGCGGGAAGCAACGTGACGTTCGTTCGCTCCGTCGCGGGAAGAGTCGATTCTCTCGTGTGGGGCGCGGCAGCGTGCCACGCGACCGACGTATTACGCGAGAGAGAACGAGAGAGTGTTAACAACGTTACGTTTCGCGTCTCGGTCAGCCCCGACGAAATCCCGTTCCTCTGTCAGGCGTCCCGATGCGACACTGCAACGCATAATTTACCGCGTTATCGCCGTGCGATGCGATTTAGCTTCGGAGTCTCCAGCGATTATCGATGATTCGTCGTCGGATGATTCTATTTTCAACCAAACTTTGTGAGCGTTTTTTTTTTTTTCAATCTGTTGCAACAAAACAACACCGGATCTTTCGATATCGAGCAAACTGTACCATCCTTTGTCTTTCTTCTTTATCTTTTCACGTAATCTTCGCGGATGTCTCGATTAATTAGGCACCGACAGTCACTCACAAATTTCCACCGCCTCGAGCCACCGGGAAAATTCACTTATTCACGGCTTTTAAGTTTCACGCGGACGCTGATATCGCGCGACATGATTCCATTAAGGTACGGCGATAAATAAATCCTATTAACGAGCCTTATTGTTTTTGGCAGAATGCGCGGCCAAGAACGGAAGATCGGTGGTGGAGCACCATCCTCCGTCTTCTTATTGGGAGCAACCCTTTAGTCAGCCTTACTTCGACAACACGACAAAGAGGGATACCACAACCACCGTCGGGCAATCCGCTTACCTGCACTGCAGGGTGCGCAATCTTGGCGATCGCGCGGTAAGTCCCAAGTTTCCTTATCAAGAGCCGTCGTCGTCCTCGTCGTTGCCGTTGTCGTCGTCGTTGTAATAACAGTGTCCTTGTTTTGGAGGCATGGCGTCTACATGGGGATGTGGATTAACATCGCGAGTATGTTAAACATCGCGATTTCGATTCCCCGGAGATTATTCTCGCTTTCGCGGAAAGCGCTTATTCTTATCGCGTTCTTCGAACGCGTAATTCGGCAAGGTATTCTCTTTTTTAATGTGATTTTCTGTCGAGTATCTTTTCTTTCGGAATTCTCTCTTTTCACACGCGCGTCCATCCAATGCTTCATTTTATCTATTTTTGCAAATACGCGGACTGTTCTTGTCACTTTTGATACCGCGCCCAAAATATCCAAAATCGTCCACTCGCTCTCTCACTCCCAACTGAACCAAACCTATAAAAAACAAATGCAGACAACAGCAGTATGTTATAAATAAAAGGCAGGTGCTAAACTTTCAGAGGCAGAAAAAACGCTACGTAATGAATTAAATTTAGTGAAATAGTGAAGAATACTTCATAATGGATTCACGTTTTGATGGCCTGAGACAGACAACGCGCGTAGCACGGTCGACGGTGTTGTCGACGCGTTTAGGGGAAAAAAAGAAAAAAATCAATTAACCGACTAACCCTCTTATTACGTAAATTATGTAAAGCCCGGTGGACGGGCTTTAACGCTCGATTATGCGTCAACAAGCTCTCGCGATTTAATTTTATGTCGTTTGCGAGGGTTGCGCTCGCAGGATGACAAAAGCCCACCTACACAAACGCAAACAAATTTACCGTGCAAAATTAAATCGGCGCGTCGCATCCGTTCGATTAGCGCGCGATCCTCCAATTATTTTCCTTTTTATTTCGCGCCACGCGAAGTGTATTTTCCGGACTATCGCGATCCAGCTTTCCGGGTCCGTCGATAAATTCTGTCGCGCGCTGCGCGGCGCGGCACGCCGTCCGGACAATCCAAGTCGCGCCGGCGATTGGAGCCGTCAAATAAATTCGCAGTTACGTGAGCGGCGTTTGTGAGCATTAATTCGCAATCGCTCGCTCGCCGACAAACTTTGCTTCGTCCTCTCTCTCTCTCTCTCTCTCTCTCTCTCTCTCTCTCTCTCTCTCTCTCTCTCTCTCTCTCTCTCTCTCTCTCTCTTTCTGCTAATGCGCCCGTTACCACTCGAGGGGAAGGAGAAAGAGAGATGGTGTGCGCGACGCGCTTGCGAGTTCATTCTTCATTTACTCACGCGACATCGTCTCGCACTTTTATGGTAACCTACTTCGCGCCCTCGCTCGCCATCACTCCTCCAACTCCTTCTCTCGGCGAACTTCTTCTCTTCTTCTTCTTCTTTTTTTTGCTCCTATTTTTCCATCTCCTTTGCCTTTATTTCGCAAACTCGACGGGCTAAAGTATAAGTACTCTTCGCGGCTCGACGTGCGTACACTTTCCCGCGCATATTTAGCGAGTTACACAGGAGGACATTAACATATGATCTCGTTAACGTCAAGACACCTCTGACCGTGTTCATCGTGCCGTGAAGCGTTACTCGTGACGGAACCTGTCGGAGAGGCGTACAGACAGAAAATTCACACTTGACAGACACCTGTTAAATGATTACACGATCTAATTCCTATGTCGCAGAGAAGAAACCTATGCACGTGTGTGTGTGTGTGTGTGTGTGCGTGTTGCGCCGAAAGGCGAAAATTCAGTTTTGTTCTTCTCCAAATTCACACATATATATTCGTTTCTTCCTCGCGGTTTCGTTCTCTCTCTCTCTCTCTCTCTCTCTTTCCTTCAATAAAATGCACCTCCGATGATGAAACACGCGCACATACTCGCACTCTGTGTCGCTTCTCATTCGATTAACGTCTCCGTAACCGTCGCTCGCGTGTCAGTCACACGAAGTGCTAAAGTGATGTATCGGCGAGCCTCGTATAAAAGGTCAAAGGTGGGCCGCGCGCGCGCGCGCCATATCCGTACACACGAGCGTACACAAAATACTCGCCGTCACGGCATCAATTTTTCCGGCAGTTTGGTGGGATTAGCGGCTCGCGCGGGGGCCGCTGTTTAACCCGGTATTCATCACTCGCGGTCCTAATGCAAAGTAATTTCGCGGGTAGGCGCATAGGTCACCGGGCGAATGGTGACATTACGCGTTATCGGCCGCTGCTCATGCATCACCGCATGACGCACAGGAACCCGTCAGAGTCCAATCACCGATCGTAATCGCCGATAAATCAAATTTCTCTCGCACCCTACCCTGCTCTACTCTATAGCCCACCCCGTCCTGGCCTATCTCTCTCCTCGCTGCGAGCCCCCTTCGCCCAGTGTTCGCTTCCACCATTCACAGCCAGCCCGTTGAACCCCCAATAACACTCATACACGCGCGCGCGCGCGCGTATCCGGATATTCGCATTTGCAAAGTGAGGCGTGATCGACGCAGATCACGAAGGCGAATCTTACAAATTCGCGCACCTCCACCTCACTTTAACCGACGTCACGACGAGGTCCGGACGAGGTTCTTCTTGCGTTCGATCGGATGCTCGAGCGTAAATTCATCGTCCGGAGGCTCTCAAGAGAGTAAAGAACGTCGATGTTGGCTAGATTAGGGGCGGAATCTCGGCTTTTTCCGACATTTCCGCCGCACGTCCCCTCGTCTCAGAGCATGCGGGAGCTAGCGAGAAAAGAGAGAGAGAGAGAGAGAGAGAGACGTGTTGCGAACGTCGGCGCAAAACAATGGCGGAAACGTACAGGACGATCGACGTCGCTGCAGCAGCAAGTGTCTTCTCTTGATGCGCAGGTCTCGTGGATCAGGCAGCGGGATTTGCATATCCTCACTGTTGGCATCCTAACGTACACCAACGACCAGCGTTTCCAATCGCTGCACAGCGATGGCAGCGACGAGTGGACCCTGAAGATCAGCTCGCCGCAAGTGCGGGACAGCGGGATCTACGAATGTCAAGTCTCGACGGAGCCCAAGATCAGTCAGGCGTTCAACCTGAGTGTAGTGGGTACGTATTGTGTACATACGTATCTCCGTTTCTCCTTCCTTGCCCCCTCCCCTCCTCTCTCCTTCTCCTTGCACAATTAACAAGACTCTCGATCGAAAGACTCTGTCGAGTAAATTCCGCTCCAACTCCGCGGGGTGAAGCCCGCTGAGCTTCTCTCGGCTTCGCTGGTTCGAGATGAAAAATGAAGCGAACCATTGAACTCTGCGTGAAATTATTTTTCCCTCAGAAGCGATAACGAGTTCGCTACGGCGAGCCGCGCGGCAGCATTGAAATCACGCTCGCGATTGCCTTTAATAAAGAACGAGAAAGGGAGAAGAATCCGCTCAGTCGGATTGTATTTGAAAGCGATCGCGAATTCCGCGCGCTCTAATAGTGATTTCCGAAAGTCATTTGTTTTACCGGAGTGAATTTCTAAGCCGCCGATTCCGTACGCTTCCTATCCGAGGCCGCGGGGTTAATTGCAGCTTTGCAGCGGTTTTAAGGAAGATCGCGACCGTGCTTCTTGACGCAGGGCTTTGCCTCGGCTCTCCTCCCCTCTCTTCTCCCCCCCCCTCCCTCCCTCTCTCTCCCTCTCTCTCTCTCTCTCTCTGTCGACCCCGCTCCAGTTCCGGTCAAAAACCACTTTAACTTTGTTCCGTTCCGTGTGCAGTCTCGAAGGCAAAGATCAACGGCAATTCGGAGCTCTACATCAAAAGCGGGAGCGACATCAATCTGACCTGCATCGTACTGCAAACGCCGGAGCCACCATCCTTCATCTATTGGTGAGTTTGAACGTCCTCCCTTGACGATAGTGCGATTGAATTTGTTCCGCGGGCGGAACGAGCAATGGGGCTCGCAGTTTCGCGAAATCCAAATCTACACTGGCTGCCGACACCGACTGCGGCTGCGATAGCGGCCGCAGGATCTGGCTTTATCGAAAAATTTCTCAACGCGAGAGCCCATAAAGCGAATTTCCGATAAAGTGAATCTCCGATGGAGTTACTCCTCCAAGTTATGGTCTTTAGAATCCATAAATTCAGCGTGCCGCAAATGCGCCGATCCGAGAATCCTTTCGTTTGTAGATTCGCGTCGTAAATATTCACGTGCGCGCGCGCATTCGCGCAATATTCACGACTTCTTCGATCTTTCTTCATTTGCTTTGCTTTCTGTTCTTCCGCTTTCAATTTTCGCCTTCTCTCTCACATTACGGCGCGGCGAGAGAATTCAGCGTAGTTTGCGAGAGAAACAACGTCATCCCGCGCGACGTTTTACGCGCGTCGCTAACGATTCGGATTATTCCGGACAATTTCGCAGGTACAAGGGCGACAACGTGATAAACTACAGTCAACGAGGAGGCATTAGCGTCGTGACGGAGAAGCAAACGCGAACGTCACGTCTTCTGATCAGCAGAGCGCTGCCGGCCGATTCCGGCAATTACACCTGTGCGCCATCCACAGCCGAGTCAGCCAGCGTCCTCGTCCACGTGCTCAATGGTGGGTGAGTCGTGAATAAAAACCATTAGAACCGTTAAATCGCAAGCCGCGCGATATTATCGACGAAACGCTCGCGTGGTATATACATATATATTATATATATTTTTTTTTTTTTTCCGATATATCTTCGCGCAATAATAGCGGAAATATTGTCAATCTTTTCGTGAAAAAGGAATCCCCGCCGGGTCTCGGTGTTGCGTTGCGGTATTTCAAACAAAAGTTTAAACGCGTGTAAATACGTCAGTTTGGATAAAAATGTCAAAATAAATATCAAAGTTACACGACAGTCGAGCGGCTCATGGCCGAATCGCAGTCGCGGTTCGTGTCGTCGCATCAAAAAAGCTTTCGCTCGATTTCGACGAGCGAATGTGCGGATTTACGGTAAATTATATCCTCGTCGAGATCACGGCCTGAAATTGCAAATACAGAAAACCCGTAAATATGCACCACACTGCACCGTTGCCAATATAATTTTATAATTCACCGTAATTTATATACGCGCCGTGCGGTGTATCGCAACCACCGAGACGCGAGAGAGCGTGCAAAAAGAGAGAGAGAGAGAGAGAGAGAGAGAGAGAGAGAGAGAGAGAGAAAGGGGGAGAGAAACGCAAAACCGATTGCAATATCTGACGGATTAAATTTGACGGAGATTCTCGCAGCCCTCCGTAGGAACGCGAAAAGCATAAAGTCAATTAATTTATTCGGACTAGTTTGTTGTGCCGGTTTTAATCAAGTTTCCCGGGGAAACGTTTTCAGAATTAGTAAAGTTGCCGCGGACCGCTCGAAGGAATGCTAAAGAGAAACAATTTCAATCCAATCGCGTCCAAATAAATAATGCATCGCGCGAAATGGCTTCGCGTGTGCGCGCGTACACGTGTACGTACATGTGTATGTACGTGCGATGAAGAAAAGTTCAGACGTACGTTTGATCCATTCCCCCCCTCCTCTCTCTCTCTCTCTCTCTCTCTCTCTCACCGCCATCTCAATGCTCGCAGCGTCGGCGAAATGAAATGAAATTTTTCCTCCTTCCGGACAAGTGGAAGGAAGCGTAGAAATTTCCAGAAACGAAATTAAATCGCTCGGCTGCGCGCCGCCGATTTTCCTTTAACTCACACGATCGCGGAGCACTGCTTTGGTTCCCGTCGAGTCGAAATTTCTTCATAGATTCTGCGAATTCTATCGAACTCGGCAGACCAGCGAAAAATCGTCGACGCTTCTGCAGGGCTTCTGCAGGGTTAATGTATCGTAGAACCGAAATTTCTCCCCTGTGGTCGTCTCTCCTTATCTTTTTGCGCTCGGGAGGAATGTCGAATATCTTTCGAACGAACCCGGCTCGAAATTCCATTGACTATACAGATTTCATCGAACTTAGAAGGGAGAATGTTATGTCTCTTGAGATTCTCCGTTGATTCTTCGGACTGGCCAAAATGTGCGAGGTTAATGTGGAATCGAAATTTCTTTGGCTTTAAAAAAATGAGACATGTCTCGCGAATCCGAGTGCGAAAATCCGAATCATATCCGATCGTCTCTTCGGGGCTGCCCGTGATCGATAACGCGTTACGCAACTGAACTCAATGAGATCAATTACACACGTGCCGTCAGTAGTAGTAGTACACACGGAGCACATCAATTGTTACACTCTCTCGTGCGCGAAATTAATCTCGCGTCTAACGTTATTCGTAAGAGATTTACAAGTAATTACTGCACGGAAACCCGGCCGAACTTGGCGAGATGAAACTCTCGTCAGCCAACTGTACGTGTGTATATACCCGAGTCTAACGACACAGACGATGAAGTCTCTCCCGCGAACTTCGGCGTCTCCTTCTACTCCCCGCGCACGTATTCGCCCCCGCGGGTATATCCCGAGTCATCGAAATTAGCTCCGGCGGCTTAATTTAAGCAAAAGGCCGACGAGACCAAATTAACGTCCGCGAATCGACGAGCAAATAGCCCGACGGACGGAACGACCGCGAACTCGATCGGATCGCGCGAGCTGGCGTAAATTATTGCCGTGACGTTTCCGCTGCTTCTGACGCGCGCCAAATCGTGCCGAAATTTCGTCCATTCGCGTCGAGCAATCTACGAGCACATCTGCCGGCTAACTTATTATTAACAAGACGCGCGTTGGTCGAACATTTGCGGTACCGTGCATTCATCAACGCCCTCGCCGTCTCCTGCACCGTCGCCGCGACGACGTTCTTTCCCAGATTGTTGAAATCATCATCGCTATTTTCCCCCGGGTCGCCCCCTCCCCCCTCCCCTCTCCCGGTCGAGTAATGGAACAAGAACGAAAATTACACAGAGTGCTGAAAGTCGCCGCACCCACTCTCTCCGCGTCGCCCCCGTCCGTCCAGATGGTTATCGCGTTGACCCCGATCCCGCTCGCAAAATCGCACACGTGCGTAAATGAAGGCGAGGAGAGGTCGAGAAGCGCCCATTCAACGACACCAGACGCACCGAGAGAGATTCTTCGTCGGCGCTTACATCGTGTCAGCCGAGTGGCGCACGGCGACGCTTTCGCACAGACCGACGAGGGATAACCTCTTTATTGAGGCCAAATGACCTTCCTAACCTAACGTCGCTTAAGTCGTCCTGGTGGACGGGGGGATACATTTTAGAACGAAGCGCGAGATAGGCGAGTATTTTTACGACGCTACACCGAGATTGCCGCGGAACGGTGCGCGCCGGCAACGACATCGTCAACGAGCCGTGGACATGACCGTGTTAGGGGTTGGAAGGGGGGAGGAGGGAGACACACGAAGCGCGCACGTTCGCCTTTGAGTCCTGGGGACGAGCGCGGGTCACGTGACTCCCGTCGACTGCGAGGGGAAGGCGGAACGAGGTAAGTGGAGTCGGACTTTACGCCGGGCCGTAAATCCCACGTTGCACGCAGCGACCGGGAGAAGCAAGCGCCGCGCCGATATAAACTAAACGGCGCAGCCCGTAAACGCATCGCCGCGGCTGCACGGTGCAGCACGGCGCGGCATTCTCTTCGCTTCGCTCCGCTCCGCTCCGCTCCGCTCCGCTCCGCCCCGCCCCGCCCCGCTCCGCCCGATGCGTTCGAATACCCGCGCGCTCGCCGGGAATCGTGAGCCGCGTGCGAGCGGCTGTAAACCGGACGTCGCTACTGACGAGAGACGTTTGAAAGTAGGTCCCGCGCGGATACATTCCGGCTTTTTATCTCGCCGCGGCGCGGCGCGACGTGGCGCGGCGCAGCGCGTAAAGTGCCGAAGAAATAAATCCTCGGGATACACGTCTGCCCTTTTCCCAACCGTCGCGTCGTTCCACGGGATAAATCAGTCGAGATATTGTTCCATGCAAATCCCTGCCGGAGGTTGCCCGTCGATGGAAAAGGGAGAGAGAAAGAGAGAGAGAGAGAGAGAGAGTGAGGACGGAGGGAGCTGCTCTTCTCCCCTTTCGGCTCGCGCGTGCTTCTCCGCATCTGCACGTCCGCGGCACGCGAACTCCTGAGATATGCACATCAAGTGGCGAGAGAGCAAGAGAGCGAGAGAGCGAGAGGGAGCGGGAAAGAGAGAGAGAGAGAGAGATCACGCGGTGATCTCGTTCCCATGTTATACGCAGGTAATATCTTCCTACATTCGCTTCCTCTCTTTCTCTCTCTCTCTCTCTCTCTCTCTCTCGCTCTCCTCGTACGGCTTCGATTCCCGTCAGGATAATACCGAACTTATCGGAAGTAATACCGCAGCTATCGGAAGTACCACCGCAGCTATCGGAAGTAAATCGCGGCGAGCGTATGCGGCGATTTAGGGCAAACGTTTGCGGCACGGGACGTCCCGGCAACGTCGGTTAACCCTTTCAATGACGAGCTATTCCTGGCGTAATATGTGCCTTTTATCTATATATGCGCGCAACTTCTTTAAATATAGCCTGCTGTTGGTCGCGAAAGACGCGTAAATATAGATAGCCTCGTAGCCGGTGACCTGGACGACGACGTGGACACGGCGCTGCTGTAACGTTCGCTCGCGTTAATTAGGACACACCGACTCGCAAAGAAGGGCGATTTTATGCATCGCGAGCCCGGCCCTTCGCGACTTCGTCGCGCCCACGGCGAAAGACTCGCAGTCGAGGGACAAACGTCGAGCGGCGGTCGACGCGGAAACGTAAGTCCTCGTAATCTCCGCGGGACTTATCAAAGGACTTCGTTACTGCGTGATGTACCGCAATATCCGCGAGTTAAATTGTGGAAGTTACTACGAAGGCCACTGTATTACTGTACGTAGAATATGCATTACCCCCGACCTCGAAGTCTGCTTCGGTTGGTTGTACATAAAGCGCACATGCGGTGGAGAAGGACGGGGTAATACCTCTCTCTTTCCCTCTCTCCCTCCCTCCCTCTCTCTCTCTCTCTCTCTCTCATCATCTTGATCTCGCTCTCGCTTCTTCTCTCTGTCTCTCTCTTTCTCTCTCTTTACATTTCAACTTCGACTTCCCTCAGGAAGACTTCCCGTTTCCGACTTTCCCGGAACAATGCGAGGAGGATAATGTTACCGCGAAGATTAAAGCGCGAGATAACGCACGATCGTAATAACTCACGCTCGGACGCGAACGAGCGGGCAAGCGAGCGCCGCTCGAAATTTTAACGTGTAACGTGTTTCACGGCGTGTAATAACAAAGCTGCCCAGAGGCGCATTACGCGTAATTAGCCGCGATAGGCTGGTGCCCGCGTCGCGCGCGCGCTCGTTTTCAGCTTTCCCCCGAGCCTCCGGGATTCCATCTGAATAGCTCGCCGTGCGCCGAAATATCGGCCGGCGCTCGATTCCGCGTCGATACACCGATCGCGGATCGCGCGCACCGTGTGGCACCCCGTATTAAATTGTTTCTGCCTTGCTTATCATCGTGCACGCGGTTCAATGCCACGCGGATAATTTTCGCGATCGCATCGCCGAACACAATGTGTTGCCTTCGCCGAGTTCTGATCTCGGCATCACGCCGTCCGCTCTCCCTTCCTTCCTCCGTCCTTCTCTCCCTCTCTCTCTCTC